TTATGCAAGCCAACGCTCCAACCACTTCGTCAGCAACCTGGAAAGCAATCATTGTAGGGAGAAAGGCTTTGCAAACTGGTCTGATCAAACGAGTTGGTAATGGAGATTCTATCTCCATATGGAACGATTCTTGGATCCCCACCACTTCCACCCTCAAACCCATGGGGAGGATAGGGAATGACCCGCTTCAGTGGGTCTCTGAACTCATCGATGAGAGTACGGGAACCTAGGATATCGAAACAGTACATCGGAATTTTCTTGCACCTGATGCGGAGGCCATACTTAACATTCCTATCCGGCTGGTGGAGAAGATTTCCTGGCTTGGGCCTTTGAAAGATCCGGTGAGTATACTGTAAAATCAGCCTATCGTGCTCTTGTGACTCAAAACGAGCGTCGAGCTCTAGAGGAAGGGACGGTAGTAGGAACATCAGCTTCGCAAAAACAGTTGTGGACTACTCTATGGAATCTCAAAGTGACCCCAAGAGTTCAGGTATTCATGTGGCGAGTTCTCAGAGGGATTCTCCCTGACTACACCAACATGCAATACCGCCATATTCGCACCAGTTCTAGGTGCGATCTGTGCAAGGCAACGGATGAAGACCTCATGCACGCACTCATACATTGCACACATGCACAAGCTTTTTGGGCTGCAGCTAAGGAAGTCATTGGACTAAAGCTTCCACGGCTACACCATGATACATGGGCGCGAGATTTGGTGCTCGACACTAGATTCTCAGACCCAGACAGATGCAAGATAATTACAATCATGCACTCGATCTGGACCTCGCGGAATCGCTGGACGCATGATGAGGAAGGGTATGATCCAGCCCAAGCAATAAAATGGGCACGTGATGACCTAGCCCTACTCGATCTTCCTCCAACACAATGACGCAGCGGGAGTCTCCAGAACTGGAATCCACCACAGCCTGGAAGGATCAAAATCAACACAGACGGTGCCCTCGACACTCAGCTTCAGGTTGGAGGCGCGGGAGGAGTTGCTCGCTCACATCTCTCCTTCACTGGTGCATGGAGCAAGCCTCTCCCTGGTGTAACCGACCCTTTCATTGCCGAAGCCCTAGCCCTGCGAGAGGGAGTGATATATGCCCAACTGAGGGGCTTCTCGCACGTGGCAATGTAGATGGATTGCTTGGAGGTAGCGAACCTCTGGAACTCGCATCACAGTCCAAGATCGATTGTGAAGCCTATCTTCGATGAAATCAAGGAAATAGCTGCAAACTTTGTTTCCTTCTCGATCCAGCATGTCGCAAGAGAAGCCAACACTTCGGCGGACCTATGCGCTAAACATGCAACTACCCTCTCTATATCAGATGTTTGGCTGGACTCTTGTCCACCCGTCTTAGTTAGCAGCTTCCTAGTTGATTGTAACCGAATTTCTATCAAGCAATAAAATCCTTGATTCGCGTCAAAAAAATCCAAACAATTAAAAAAATGTCTATTTTGTTCTATATAAAAACTAGTTCAAACATTTTTTTAAAATTATGTTATCGCGAGGATGGCAATTCTTTTTAGCAAGCATGGCAAATCTTGTCATGAGGAAGTTTCCTTTAGCAGGATTTGCCATGCTTGCTAAATAAAATTGTATTCTTATGACAACTTATTTTTTCATAAAAAAAAGTTTAATATGCCATGTTCGAAAATCCGGCGTCATATTTTTTGACATTCCCGATAAAAACAGTAGGTAGCTCTAAACGGAACTCTGCATCTGGGAGATGCATGCGGCCTTTATTGATTATTTTTGAGGACCTTACAAAGTATTACAACAATATGCCTGAATCCGCATATTGGCAACATATGCCACTACTCCTATACATATGATGAAGGTTAGCACTCACATGTGTCGTCGCTGCCATCTTTCACAGGTCCGTTTTCAGAGCAGATATTGAGGCTTCTACCTTGCCAAGCCACTTTGCCATCGACGCCACCATGACGCCAGACAACTACCTCCTCCTGCACGAGTCCATCACATGCATCGCGCACCGAGTCTCCACTGTGCCGCGCCACCGAGATCCGCAGTCATCAATGTGTAGGATGAAGCACCGCTCCACCAAAAAAGTCGCCCACTGGTCCCTCGATCCCGTGTACGCCTTCAAGAATGACGCCCCCAATGAGGAAACGACACCAAGGCGCCGTCGTCATCCGATCTACTGATCTAGGGTTTCCCCCGGAGGTAGCGGATAAAGGTCTGGAGCTTTTCCATGGTGATGTCTTCAAGAAGGTAACGGCATAAAAGAGTGCCGCCAACGCCGGTCTTGGCATCGAGCCCGAGCACGAGGTTTTCATCCGGATCCGCTCGAATAACCTCCATCAAGCATCGTTTGCACGGGTCACCGCCGATCTGAGCCCCCGCACATCGAGCAGGCCGCCCCGGCCAGATCAGATCTGTCTAGAGGGCACACCACGCATGACGCCGATCCAACCACCAGACCCTTCATTGCCGCCACCGCCGATTCGAGGTCAGATGGTCCGTCGCCGCAGACCCAGCCGCCGCCGCCGAACGCAGCCAAGGCCGCCCCAGTGCCCGAGGGTGCTGTAAACTTATTGAAGTCGTCTTTGGAGCAAGCCTTCGTCAAGCCGTGTAGCTTAGCGAAGATGGCGTCATTACCCCTTCATTGAGGCGTCACAGCGGTACCTGATCCTTGTGGCACGTGAATTGTTGCGTCCTAGCTTGATGGCGGGGCTGCTGTTTGCAGCGGCCCATGCCGATGTCGTCGTACTACCGTCTTCCTCCAATCGGACTGGTCATGTGTTGTCGCGTTCCTTCCGCTGCCATGCGCAATGTACGTCCGTCGCCAACAGTTTTTGGTTCACTCCACGTCATCCTCGGCGCCAGCTGATTCCTACTGTTCACTTGTGGCTCCCTTGGCGCTTTTGGTGGAGTACGTGGAGGGAATATACGTCGGGCACAGGTTTTAGGTCCTTGATTTGACTAGCGAAATACTACATGTGCTGTAGCCAAAGACCTAAATTATTTCTGTGTCTGACTTGTATTCGCAGGAGGAAGTAACCAAGTATCACAGGAGGAAGTAAGCAAGTGGAGAGAAGCGATAGTGCAGACGACGTACGATTACCCCTTGGTGAACTCCGTCTCCGACGAGCTGATGGTTTTCTTCCCCCTTGGTCCGCTGATCCGTTAGCTGGAAGAGGGTTAGCTGAGAGCGAGCGGAATTGATCAAGTTTCCACGACTGACCACCAGGGCAGAAGATGGGTGAATGAATGAACAATCAGACCGTTGAAACCGTCAGACAAACAACCCAACCTCTACCAGTTGTCTGCAGTTCAGGCCTTCCCTTCTTTTTTCCGATTGTTATAAAGACGAAGCATCGGCAACATTTGTAGAGTAGTAATATGTACTAATGTTCATGATGCAACTTATTAATAATAAAAGGCGAAACAACCTGTGGTTGGATGGAAGAACAATCTTTGGCGCCTCCTCCTCCATTCCTCGGTTCTTCCTCTTCTCCTCGGTCCCCACCGCCAGCCTCCGACTCCTCATCCTCCTCGGAGTCATCTTCCTCGTCGGCCTACTCGTGGTCGAAGGGATCCTCAATCAACGCCATCATATTTGGCCCGGGACTCCTTCCACAGGACGGCGAACACGTCGGCGTCCGGAACCCGCGGGCCCGCCAGCAGCTCCGCCATGCGCTTGCGGAACTTGTCCATGCCGAATGCTACGATGACGGCGGGGTCCATTTCGCGGGGGCCTGCAGGCGGCCTTGGTTGCTGGGGAAGTTTGGAGGTGAGAGGCGGCGTGGGGTTTGGATTGTTGTTCGCCCTCCTCGCGCTCTCTCGGTACCAACGTGGGCTTTGTTATTTCTTTGCCGGGTTTGCACGAGGACGACTGGGTCAAGCCTCGGACTGAGGAATTGAACACTTTTAATGTTCTGCACTGAAGAAACACAACACTTCACCTTGCTTGGCATCTTCAACGGTTCAACCACGCCCAGCCATCGGATCTGCATCTAACGGTGACTCACCGCGATCGTCCGTCCATCACGAATCCAACGGCTCACGATACCCTGCTTCACTGCCTCTGTCTGTCTCCATTTGAATCCCGATGAAGAGTATCATATCGTCTCCATTTGAAAAAACCCTAAGGGCTCATTTGGTGCACAGGAAAAACTCGGGGATCCCCGCCCAATACCAGGGACAGAAAGCCACGCGTTTACCTCTCCCAGGGAATTCTGCAGCGCCATTTGGTTCAGGCCCAAGACAGGGAAATCTCGGCCCTCCCCGGCCGAATCCCAGGGAAGAAAAAACACTAGTCATGACGCATGGGAAGTTCCCCCGTTTCTCTCGTTGCGTCTCTGTTCGCCGCCGTTCTCGTTGGGTAGACCCCCTCACTTCGACCGGTAGACCCCCTCCTTGGCTCCTCTCTCTACTCCCAAATGGCGATGCCAAATTTCACTGGGGTTTCCATTTTGTCAGGAATTTTTTTCCATTTTGTCAGGAATTTTCAATCCGGGGCAGCTCTACCCCGAGTACATCTCCCCCGGCAACCAAACAAGGCCTAAACGTCATTATCTTTATCAAAAATTCGCCCTGAATCTCTCGCCGTTGTCCTCCAAATTTAGCTCTTTTTTTACATTTTGTTCGCCAGATACGATTTCAGAGGAACAGCAGCCGATGATGTCTGGACTGGCTGTTTCTTTAATGATGAAAATCAAAGAACTAGAGTGTTCAACACAACACTAACATGGTACCAATAGCAACTCTGAAACAAAAAACAGAACCGAGACGTGAAATGGCGTACATTCCTGCACGCGCGTAAAACAAGAGCCGTATGTCTGTTCCAATTACATCAAGATAATTTCCGCTAAATGTTCCTCTGCTTATTTCGCCTTTCTGGCGGCACATCACATTGCATTTTTTTTCCTTCCTTATCTCGAAACTACATCATCATCATCAATCAATCTCAAAACTTGGTCCATGCTACCAAAATTAAACCACGTCCTCCAGAGAAACTCGGCCGCGTCGCTCATCAGTATCCGAAGCCTGGTCATCATCAAAGCAAGCAGCACACATCAGCAACATGCTTCGTACGAGCACCGTACCGTTTGCTCACCGGCTAAAGGGGGTTTGAAGCTTACCGGAGTTGTCCATGGGGTTGGCGAGGGGCGCGGCCTCGGGCTCCTTGATCTCGACCACCACCACGTCCGACGTCAGGAAGGTCTTGGCCACCGACGCGGCGTGCTCCAGGCAACATCTCACCACCTGTCATGTCCAGTTCAAGCTCATCAGGAAAACTAAACGTAGCAGTATCATCATGTTCTTTACTTACTGCCATTAGTTGCTTTCCTTCCTTCTCCTTTTGCAGTTCCCAAGTTCTTACTTTGTTTTTGTATTATGCAAAATTAAAGCTAATCTAGATTAGCTTTGCTTATCCATTTAGTTTCCTTTGTCTTTCTAGGCTTAGATCTGGACACTTTATTCCAAAGCAGCAAGACTAAATCTCAGAAAAGAAAAAGGGTGGTTTGCCTAGGAAAAATATATAAGGAGGATGCAGCCCCAATAGAAAAGACAGAATAAAGGATGCCCCAAGTTGCATCATCACCCAAAATATTTCAGAGTGTGCAAGCAAGAGTGTAGGGAAGACTGGGGAGGCTGCAAACCTTAGTGGGGTCGATGATACCAGCAGCCATCAAGTCCTCGTACTGCCCAGTGGCGGCGTTGTAGCCGAACTTGAAGTTGTCGTTAGAAAGAACCTGGTAAAGCAGCATTCTTCATGTTACTCACATACAGGCAGGAATTAAAATAAAAACATTTCTTTTTAGCAAACAAACTCTAACCTTCTCGGTAACAACACTGCCATTGACACCAGCATTCTTGGCGATCAATTTGAGTGGGTAGCACAGCGCCCTCCTCACTATCTCAGCTCCGACCTAGTAGAAAAGTTGGCATTACGGCATGTCAAACTTGAATGCTCAATGATTCAACATGATTGTTTGTGACCCACTTGCACCGGACTGCATTGTGTGCAAGTATTAGAAGCCTTGGGGAATTTCATTTGGTTTTTACCTTCTGCTCGTCGTTCTCCAGGGTGTCCTTGATGGCATCAACCTTAGCAGCCAGCCTCAAAAGAGTGCACCCTCCACCAACAACAATACCTTCCTCAACAGCAGCCTGCAAAAGAAAGAATCAATTTAGAATGTTGAAGGAAGTAACAAACCAATGGGCTTAACTCTGCTTCTTTCACAAGCAGATACGAAGCGGACAGGTAAAATAAGTTTTAACGACACAACACTGTTTGACTTACCTTGGTTGCGTTTAGAGCATCCTCAACTCTCAACTTCTTCTCCTTAAGTTCAGTTTCTGTTTGTGCTCCCACCTACCAAGTCACAAGCCATGGGTTACTACAGTTACCATGCCATCCTTCCTTCCAACAGGGAATCAAGCAAAAGAGCAGCATGCCAAAAATAATAGTGTCCTCCATTAATACCTGAATAACAGCAACACCACCGGCGAGCTTTGCAATCCTCTCGTTGAGTTTTTCCTTCTCGTAGTCTTGCTCTGCTGCCTGGAATCAGCAATAACTTAGAATCAGACTTTAAGACTAAATGTTTTTCAAGTCTGGGATAAACAGAACAACCACACGCAGAGCTCAAACAAAGAAACTTATAATATACGCCCAGGATGAAGCATGTAAACCAACCACACACAGAGCTCAAACAAAAAAACTTATAATATACGCCCAGGATGAAACATGTAAACCAACCACACAACATTCTAATACGAAGAAATTTCCAATCTTCATCCAGTACCAGGGATGATGAAACGGAGCCTTCTAGAACTACTACGTACCGAGTCAAGTGAGGCATGGAGAAAAGAGAATGGCATACCTCAATGAGATTTTTGATCTGTGCAACCCTTTTAGTCACTTCTTCCTGGGTGCTGCCATCACCAACAATTGTGGTCGACTCCTTTGTAAGGACAACCTTTGCAGCCGTTCCAAGAACTGTACTATCTGCCTTGTCAAGTGTGAGTCCAACCTCGTCTCTGATCACAGTTCCTGTGAAAAAAAGCGTGTCACGAACAAGAAGCATTGGTGGTCATGAAAACTTTCATTTGAGGTAATATATTCGCCTCACCTCCGGTGAGGATGGCAATGTCATCCAAATACTGGGTCTTGCGCTCTCCAAAACCAGGGGCTTTGATAGCGCAAATTTTCAAAGATCCTCTCAGCTTGTTGACAACAAGGGTTGCAAGAGCCTCCTGCTCGATATCCTCAGCAATGATCAGGATTGGGTATTGTCCCCTAATGGCTTCCTCCAGAACATTGATAAGATCCCGTGCGTTGGTGATTTTTTTGTCAACCAAAAGCAGCTGAAGAATGAAGATCAGAACACATCAATAATCTGAACCATAAAGACAGTAAGCAACAGTGAAAGTAGACTGATAATCACTCAGATTCCAGCTTACCTTGCAGTTCTCGTACTCGGTGGTCATTTTCTCGCTGTCAGTAACGAAATAAGGAGAGATATAACCACGCTCAAACTGCATTCCCTCCACAACATAAAGATTGTTCTCGGAACTCCTCCCCTCTTCAAGGGTAACCACTCCCTTCCGTCCGACCTTGCTCATAGCCTCTGCTATCATGTTACCGATTTCGTAGTTGTTGCCAGCACTGACTGCAGCAACATCTGCAAGCTCACTGTCCTCAACCTGCAGAGAGAACATGCCTACGTAAATAGAACTAATAAGCATATTACATATACCAGCCATCTCGCTCGAGTTGGGAATCAGTTAAATACTAATAAGGGCCAGATTGCCAAAACTAGGAACGCTTTGACAGCATAATAGCCTAATGATTAATTTTACCTCCTTCGACATCTTCTTAAGTTCAAGGACTAGTGCTTTCGCTGTTTTCTCAATACCACGAGTAATTTGAACAGGGTTAGCACCAGCTGCAATAACCTGAATAAATAACAGACACATTTTTAGGTTTACAGAACAGTAACACCACACTCGAATCACAAGTAACAATAAACCTCTTCTAGCGGCATACCTTAACACCCTCAGCAATGAGCCCCTGAGCAAGGACGACAGAAGTAGTTGTCCCATCTCCAGCTAAATCGTTGGTCTTTGCTGCAGCTTGCCTAACCAACTTAGCTCCAATGTTTTCAACAGGGTCCTCCAGCTCAACCTGCAGTACAACAATTGTTACCTGAACATTCTGCTGGGGCTTTAAACTAAAATCATGAGCATGCTCATAAGAATTACACTAGATCCATGTATATAAGAATACAACATGCAAACTCATGTGCTTTGAGTGACAAAAAAAATGCATGATTACTAAAAGCAATCTTCTCAGTACTAGAAGTGTAGCATAAAAACTGGCTGATTGCCTCGTCACATGGTAATAATGCAACGTACCTCTCTTGCAACTGTAACACCATCATTGACAATCTTAGGGGACCCGTACTTGCTCTCCAACACAACATTCCTTCCCTTTGGTCCCAAGGTAACTCCAACAAGATCTGCAAGCTTGTTTACTCCAACCTACGATATGGAAACAACTTATCAGCGTCTGTTGAAGGCTCACCAGGCACTGTCATAAAGTGAAAACTCAAAATAGGATGTGTAAGATATGTAAAGCTCACCTGGAGCTTCTTGGTGGCTGAGCCATCCTTGTTGAAGTAGAGCTCCTTAGCTGCTTTAACTCTGAAGTTGCATTTCCTCTGAAGGCGCACATGTCGTGGCCTGTCGGCAAGGGAGATAGATGATAACGAAAATGGCTTCTTGTCAGATACAAGGCCAGTTGGAGCTGCCATGAGCCCAACAGTAGAAGTGGCACCAAATGGTGAAGCCATGTTTTCCTGTGCAGCAACGAAGATATCAGAATGACAGAACAATATATTTATACTACAACATATACGAACCTCCGAATATGGAGATCTTGTAATCACAAGGAAACACAAGCAAGCTTCACTCCAGACATAAAGGCAGTGGAGGCAAAGCCACTAAATCAAAATAGATACTTTTAACTTTTTTTGTCCTACATATATGCACCGACAAAAGAATACTCCATGTATGGAGTACAAATTAGCAGGGTGTTCCATGTATGGGTAGAAAACAGAATTTTGCGTCTGTCCTCAAATTACGCAGAAACAGCAGCTGACCACTCTACTACCCTAGTTTGTGTTCCAGAAACAACAAGTAGGGCCAACCAGTAGAGTGCACTGACTTCTAATTAACGCGCTATACGACACCCAAACAATCTTGGGGGTTTATTAAAATTAGCTAGTCAGTGTGCAAGCAAACTGCAATTCTTATAGCAAAACGAACTGAAGGGCAGATGTAGCTCCTGCTGTGGCTACCCGAATAAGAGCACCACAAAGCCCAAACAGGCACACGGACACGGCCGACAGAGCACGAGCCCTGAACCGCCTGCAGAACACCCACCCACCCCATAGAGAACCAATTCGCAGCGGTTACACCACTTCCCCAATGCCACACCATAACACCGTTGCGCACCAATGTACCCATCACAGCAGGCTATGCACGAAGCCGGAGACCCGGCGAGCCTCCCGAGCGCCGACAGCCCGCGGCATCTGGGCGGAACCGCTCCAATCCCGCTACTAGCAAACCGTAGCAGCTACAGCAGAGCAGAGCGCACAACATCCCAGACCCAGAACCGCGCGGCCGCCGAATTCGCCTGCAAAACCTACCGGAAACCCCCTCCCCGCGCCCTAATTCACCCAGAGACCTGCCCCGAAACAGGGCGCGACCCGCCCATCTAATCCTCGGACCGCCACGCCCGAATGCGATGGCCCGGCGGCCGAATTCAGCGGGCGAGGAGCCGCTCGGCGCGGCGCCGGGAGAGGGGAGGGGAGGAGGTAGCGGGTCGGGGCGGTGGCTTACCTTGGCGGAGCGGCGGAGGAGCGAGGCGGGGCGGAGAGGATAAGGCTGCGGCCTCGGGAGGGCAGGGGCGCTGCGGGTGCGGGTGAGGGGTTTGGTTGGGTTGGGGGAGGAGGAGGAAGGGGATGAGGTAGGCCTTAAATACACGCCAGGGTTTTACAAAGGGGATTGGTTTGGTGGTTTCTTCCGATCCCACCCTTGGATTAGTGCCTATTTCCGATGGCAGTGATAAGATTTGCACAGGGACCCCTTGTGTAATTAGTAGGATATGTATGAATCTCCGGTGGTGCTAAGAGCATCTACAGCCGGCCTCCCAGGCTGACTGACGGCCCAGGCAGTTTCCGGTCATGAAAGCATATGTCCTAGTCGGACTCCTCAAATCATACGTGTACGTCCGGACTGGCTGACACCGAGGTCTGGACGCGTCTGCCCGACCATCATGGCCCGCACGGACCCCACTATGTACTAACTTAAAATCCCCATCCGGAGAAAACCCCAACTTCACTTCGCTCTCTGTCGCCTCCCCTCCACTACCTACCCATTCCTTTCTCCCTCTCCGTCCCAATGTCAAGCACCCGCAGCGGCGGCGCCATCGGGTCCCGCAACAAGGATGACAAGGACGCCATCAAACGTGAGGCGGAGAGTGATGACGAGGAGCTGGCCCTCTGCATCGCGCTTCGGTGCTCGTGGGTCGACGTAGGCAGCAACTCCGGCTCTTCTCCATCCCTTGTCGGCCGCCGCCGTAGCACGGACCTCGGCGTGGACCCTTCGGCAAAACGCACAGCTTCGCGCGCTCGGCCCGCTATGCATCGCTGTCCAAGCGCACTCATACCCTTCAATCAATGTTCCTAACACTAGTAGAAAAACGACTTTTAGTACCGGTTCGTAAGGACCTTTAGTACGGGTTCTGAAAACTAGCACTAAAGGGTGGGGAATAAAGGTCCCCCTCCCTTTAGTCCCGGTTCAACACGAACCGGGACTAAAGGTCTTTTTGAAATATTTTTTAAAATAAAGCAAAAACAGCCCGCCTACTGGGCTGGCATGGCCTGCATACGACTAGAAACCCAACCTCTAGTTGGGCCAGGATGCAGGCCCGTACAGCCCAATAGGCCCCACGGGGCGGAAGACTTGCAATAGGCCCACAAAGGCCTGCTTAGAGAGGAGCTCGACACGGTAGCCGCGGCGGGGCTTATAAACCGATGCGAGCTCCCCTCAACTAGCGAGGTGGGACTAAACATTGTGCACCGCGGGTGGCAGCGCACCACCTTTAGTACCGGTTGGTGGCTTCAACCGATACTATCGGTCACAAATGAACCGGGGCTAATGCATAGTCGTTCGAACTGGGACTAATGGTACCATTAGTGCCTAGGGCTGCAAGAAAAGCTTGAGGCTCATGAGCCCCTCGAGATCGACTCGTTTTTTGACTCGACTCGAGATCGACTCGAAAAGAAACGAGCTGAGTTTGAAAACTTTATGTAGATCGACCGAGAAACGAGTCGATCTTGAGCCAATGTTGGCTCGCTCAATTTTAGCTCGATAGCTCGACATAATATCATTATGTTAAATGATCAAGCCATATATTAAATGGAAATAAGTTAACTTATTACCATATATGCTATCCACATTTTTTCTCCATTTTATTTACCAACGAATATGGAAACTTAATTAAGTGTAGAGAAGATTTAGGCCCAATTATGGCACGTGGTCGACTATGTGTTAAATATCCTATCTTTTTGGGAAAGGTTCCCATCATATTTGCCTTATTTTTTTGTTTTTCATCCATAGATTTATAATTTTTATCATCTCATTTAGCTCGAAACTAACTCGAGATCGACTCGAGATCGTTACAAGCTGAGCACGAGTCATGTTCTACAGCTCGATCATGAGCTTCACTTAGTTTGAGCTCGCTCGAATTTTCGTATGAGTTGTACTGAGCCAACTCCAACTCGCTCGAGCTCGACTCGTTTGCAGCCCTATTAGTGTCGGTTCATTTACAAACCGGGACTAATGTATCTCATGTAAAATAGTTTTTCCACTAGTGTAAGGGGCATCAGTGGGTGCTTTTGCCCGCACCGCCGCCGCCGCGGACGCAAATGCCCAAATTGGAGGCACTGACCGCTCACCGCGAGTGGCGGTGGGATAGAGAGAGGGCGGCGGTGTCGGAGGCGATTGCATAGTCCTCCTATCGTTAGTGCAGATTGCTAGCGGTGCCTGATGAGGAGGAGCAGCTCCTTGCGGCTATCTACCCATGCTTGTTGAAGACGCGGAGATGGATCCCATGTCGGCTCCGTCGGAAGAATGCCAAAGCGCTTGGGCTTGGTATGGAGCAATCGGTGCGTAAAGCGGCGGAGAAGATGGCGGCGGAAGCAAGAACGGCAAAGCTGGCAAGGTGCAAAACCGCGCCATCCGAAGGATGGCGGCTACATCGACTCCTCGTCCTACGTCACCATTGGTCCGACGAAACCCCCCTCTTGCCGCCGATGCCTACACGGAGGGGTATAGCCGCTCCGTGACTGGAAGACAAAGGACCGACGAGGAATTGGTGAAGATGCTCATCCCTCTCCATCTCTGTGTTCCATTTTTGTAATTTTATTTTAAAAACTATGTCCATGAACTGAAATGTGATGCTTTTTTGGTCCAAATTATGCGGATACGGTTTGTTCTATATTTGTTTGTTGTATGTTCATTTTTTTTTCTGATCATCTACATAGCTTCTTTCACGTTGCATGCATAGTATGGATTTAGGGTACCAAATATGAGATCCTCTTATGTGGGCACGGCGATTTGATGATTGACTAGTCATTGTTGCAAATATATAGGGTGCTAGATTTGATATATCTGGTTGTAGATGCTCTAACAAAATGACACAACTATCTTGAGTGGATAATAATCAAATGAAAGGGATGACATATTCAGAAGAAGAAGAAAATGCAATTACCCGTCGCATCCTTTGTTGATATATGGCCATCAGCGAGAGGAGCACGTGCCGGCAAAAAACCAAGACATGGTGTTGTGGTCGTCTTTGTGCCTTTGGCTATATCCTTGGTGCCCGGCGAGGAGATGGCGTGTATAGTCTCGACGACGACCATGTATACTAGGGATGATGGAACCCAGAGTTAAGATGTTAGACGACGGCCCATCCAGATAGGAGACTGTTAGTATATTAACAGTATGCATGAGCATAGATCAGGATAAATGATTCTAGTGAAGACGAGTCTAGCTTAAATTCTATTTCTATTCTATTTATGCAACTCAGAGAACAAAACAAACAAAAATATGTTCCAATCCTGATTAGGGTTGACGAATCATCTTAACACAGTTACCCATGAGAAAAAGAAGGGATGGCCGATAAAAAAAGATTTAGGTCGGTCTATTTTTTCGAACCGTCCGATGTGCACCCAATGACCAAATGCCCTTCTTCCACCTACCGTCCTCCCCTATTCATCTTCTTTACCAAAACGTCCATGACCACCGGCCGAACTGCTTGCCTCCGCCACCCTCTCCCCTCACCATTGTGCTGGCGCCAGCCATCATGGCCATCACTCTAAACTGGCGAACCACTAGAATTTTTATGTGAGACTACACCCCGAACCGTTAACCTTTGAACTCGCCTCCGCCTACGATTCGTTCCTGACCGAGGCCTTGACGGTGTTTTACCCTGCCCGCGCTTCCTTCTTCCTTCCTAACGAAATCGACTGAGCCAAATTCGAAAACCTGACAGCTTCTTCCGGCTAAATTGGAGAAAAAGACCGACATAAACGCACAACATACAACACTAACTCATTTGACCTACAAATATAACGCTGGTTCATTTAAATTTGAGCTAGCAAATATGGCTGCAAAACCAACAAACCAAGGGTAACACGCACGAACTAAAAGCTAGTGTTTCTTTTATCAAAATCGATGGTATTCATTATAACTATTTTGGACAAAGACTAGGATCCTTAAGCAC